TCTTGCATGGTTTAACTGTCTAGTGTGATCTTCTATGGTACTTCTATGGTTCTTCTATGGTACTTCTATGGTACTTCTATGGTACTTCTATGGTACTTCTATGGTACTTCTATGGTACTTCTATGGTACTTCTATGGTACTTCTATGTTCTTGCGGTGGTAGCTTCTATGTACCTATATATGGTTCTTACTGTGTGTACACTTCTTGGTATTTCATATGGTTTCTTTCCTCTTGGCTTAGCTTCTATGCTGTATTTTCTATGGGTTTCTCTATGGTTCTTCTATTGGTACTTTCTATCGTATTTCTTATGGTTCTTCCTTGTGGTACTTCTATGGTACTTCTATGGTTCTTCTATGGTACTTCTATGGTACTTCTATGGTTCTTCTATGGTACTTCTATGGTACTTCTATGGTTCTTCTATGGTACTTCTATTTGGTACCTTTTTTTTAATGGTAATCTTCTATGCGCTACTTTGGCAGTAGGCGTCATGTATTGTGAGTTAGTGGTTGGATCTGCGTATGATTATCCACTAGGGCGCAGTGACGTTCAACTGCGATGCTAAGTTTTCATTAAATCTCTTAAAGTTTCTTATTAGTCGCTATAATTTATCCTTTGATTCTCCGAACTGTTTTTTGCGTGACACTATAGTCGACGTGCTGGCGGGGTTCACTATCAGAGGAAACAACGTTATGGGTCAACTTGTACCCATCAGCTATGTGGTAGGTTTGTCTGTGGTCAGTGAATCATGCAAACCTGGGCCCTGGGAGCGAAATACCGTGCGACTGTGAGTGAGAGTGAGCACGCTTGTTGCAGTGGGACTGAGAGAGAGAGAGGGAGGGACGGAGATGAGAGCGCGAGAGAGAGAGAGAGGCGAGATAGAAGAGAGAAAGAGACGCGAAGCGAGAGACGAAAGAAGTGAAAAGGGGAGAAGAGAGAGAGAGAGATCGAGAGGGCGAGAGAGAGCGAGAGGAGAGAGAGAGAGAGGAGCGGGGCGCCAGAGAGAGAGAGCGAGAGCGAGAGAGAGAGGATTAGGGAGAGAGACGGAGGCATGAAGAGAGCGAAGCGAGAGAGAGAGAGAGAGAGAGAGGAGAGAGAGAAAGAGAGAGAGGGGAGAGGAGCGAATAGAAGAGAGGTCAGAGCGAGCCAGAACAGAGAGAGAGCACGAGAGAGACTGGAGAGACGAGAGAGAGAGAGAGAAAGAGAGTGAGAGAAGAGATGAGATGAGAGAGAGAGAGGAAGAGAGAAAGAGAGTGAGAGAGATTGGAGAGAGAGAGAAAGAGAGAGAGGAGATGCAGAGAGAGAGAGAGATGAGAAGAGAGAGCAGAGAGAGAGAGAGTTAAGACGGCTTGTCTGGGAGTGCGGTGAGAGCCGAACATGTTATTTAATTTCATCTTTTTTCGGCAATATCGAAATTGCAAGCTGATGTGATTATAATTGTGTTGATGATTTTTTTGATTTGATGTGCAGATAACAATTGAATGTGATGGAATTGAGAAATGGAATTTGACTGTCTTCTTATTCTTATTATATTCTTCTTCTTCCCCAATTTATAGCCATACCATGCTTGTAGCGACAGGTGTTCGTATTTTAACTTATCTCGCATCTTCCTCCTGTAGAAACTTGAGAAGATCATTCTACAGCGGTTCGCTAAAGACGTAGTTATGTTGTCATGGCAACAGCTTTGGCCTGCGTTGAAGGACGCTAGAGTGGACATGTCCATGGATGACCTGTATCAGGCATTAAGGTGTGATATATTCTAACTCTTCCTGCATGCTTAACCACTACTCGATCGTGATCTAGTGACTACTATTCAGATCTGATTCCAACAGCTCTCTTTATTCTATTTTTGTGGTTATATGACTTCGTTCATTCTTATAGTTGGTCCACAAGCAACGTTTGCTAGCGGCTACGTTTCTTGCTCAGTGCGTTTGACAAAACCGAAAATCTCGTTGACTGCGGATGCCACCGTTGTTGGCAAACGTGTCGCATGGTATGTATGGAAAGCACGTGTAAGTGTTTTATATTCAGTAATTCTAATTCCACTGGCCTTAGTCCCAGATTCGACATTTACTGTAGCAATCTGGTAACTCTTTTCCCGTAAGAGCGGGAATTACATGGAAAATTATAATACTATCCCACTATAGTGTTCGTTTAATCAAATTCCCGGGGATATATTTTGATGTTTATATTTACAATGCACGTGATATTTAAGTAGATGCACGCTTAGGCTTTATACGGTTGTTATTCTCTTATATGTTGTTTTTGGCATCCTCAGCTTTCTCCACGAAGCCGGAGTGATCATATATATGTCTGACATCGGTCTGCAACACATGACACTACAATGCGCTAATCCAATATGGCTGACAAACTCTGTGACAATGGCGTTTCCTTTGATGCGCCTTGACACGATCGCTTCTAATATTGGGGTAACATATATACAGAAATAAATAAATAAATATATGTATGTGTGTGTGTGTGTGTGTGTGTGTGTGTGTGTGTGCGTGTGCGTGTGCGTGTGCGTGTGCGTGTGCGTGTGCGTGTGCGTGTATGTGCATACATTATCGAGAGATGGCTCCACGCATTAAAATAAATGCATCAGCAACTTTGTTACGGGTTGTCGTCAACATCAGGGGTTGCCTTAGCAGCTGTACCATCACATTATGCACCATCAAATTCTATTATTGAAAATTACTATTATTGACTCTTGATCACATTTAACCCTCAGATTCTGAAGGCCAAACGCCTGCAGACGATACTCGCTACGCAGATGATGCTGCCACCTACACTCGTCACCATGCTGATCGCTATCATGGAGAAATATGAGATTATCTTGAGGAAGAGTGAGTCAGAGTTTCTGGTGCCCGCCATGTTGCCCCGGCAACGACCCAGCCTGATTCTGCAGCATGACCGCAGCGCACTGGAGCAAGGTAGGTGACTGCATGACGCCTTTACCTTGCACTACCTAAAATCGCCCTTTCTCACAGATGTTCATACTGCCCCGACCTATTACACCCTTATATGCACTATCCTGTACCATCCCTTATAAAGATGGCCTCTGATTCTTTTTGGCGAGTGTCTTGAATAACTTCATATTTCATATCTTTTTCTCTACAAGGGAAGCAAATCCAGCGATGGTACTGGTTTCCATTCATCCCCGTCGGGTTCTGGCCGAGACTCGTTGCACGGCTCGTCATTCTCGGTTCCCACATGATCCTGCCGGGTCTCGGGCTGCCGGCACATGCGCAGTACTGGGCCGAGGGCGTGCATCTCATCTGGACGAAGCTCGCCTACGTCACCGTCGATGCTGTCCGCAAGGGGGACGAGGAAGTGGTGCGTCTCATCGTGCCGAACACGCACAGTGGCGCCATCTTGCTGGGCTACGTGGCCGACCACGTGGACACGCTTCTGGATGAGAGCTACCCGGGGTTGTTGGAAGTCAACCCGATTACGGGCAGGGAAACGGTTGCCGCGTTTTGTCCCTGCACCTCATGCTGTGAGTCCAACCATACATACAGTGCTTCCGTCCCTCCATCCCCGTCCGAGTGGGTCACCATTAGCGACTTTTCTCGTTTTCTGACTACTATGCTATACTATAGCCTAGTGGTGAAATCTCAAAAGGGGCCTTGAAATGGGTCTAACCCCTCCCCATCTTAGAACAAAACATAATTAACCTATTTTTTCTTCAAGGGGAATGTCTGGGGAGAAAATATTATACATTAGTGCGTCCGTCCTCAGAATTATTGCACTTTAGTGCCGAATTTCACCGAAAAAAAATCCAAAAAGGTCCTTTTCTAGAGACCAAATAGTGCACTGTTGTATGCCCCCTGTAGATGAGCCTTACCCGTTGGAGCGGCTGATGAGTAGCGTGGGTCAGCGGCGCGCGCCTGTATGCTGCGATAGCTGCGGTGTCGAGCTGTGTGCTGGCGACCTCGTACCGGACCTGCTGTTCCACGACATGCGGGAGTACCTCATCGACGTCACACAACTGTCGCTACTGCAGACGTAAGTCAGTGAACGAGTTATAGCGTGTTAGAGAGTTAGTGTTGCTGATAGGGTCTATATGTCTCCCTGGGTACTGCCGGACACTGAGGCTGCTGTTGTTGCTTTGTGCAATAACAACAATCGAGTAATCATCCAACAATCAATAATATCAAACAATCAGCAAATCAACAAACAATAATTCTTCAGCAACAATAACAGCATTAGTAGCCAACATTAGTACCCCAACAACAACAGCTAGCGAGTGTCCGTCCAGCTACCCATGCAGGACGAACCACTCATATCCGCCGTTATAGGACGACCTACATGACCGTTAGTGAGCTAGTCGTTGTCATATAGCGGAGCGAATAGTGACTAAGTCGCCCGTGAGCGAGTTAGTCCCATTGTTGACGGGAGAGGGCAGACACCAGTCAATTCTCTGCAGTTTGGTCCTATTTCCAGCCTTTGTCCCTCACTTCAGCCGCAGAGAATTTGCTGGAGCATGGCCGAGTTACGCACGTGTACAATGCTAGCTACTAGAGGCGGCGACGTTTCCGTGAAGGTATTCACTGACTTGCCGAGAGAAACACCGCGAGAAACTCATTCGCAGGAGGTGCAACTCATCTGTCGTCATGTAGAATTCACTCGTCAGAAAAGAATCTTCCTATGACAAACATATTCATATGAGAGCCGTATATGCTATTTCGTACTTTGTCATAGCATGGCACAGCCTCGAACGCGATCGTTGCCGTAGACTGTAATCATTTGTCTTAAAAAACTCTTCAATATATTCCACTCGCCACACAAGAACGAACAGACTATCAATCTTGGACATATAGTTGGCTGTGCATCACATACAGTTACGTATCCAGAGTCTAGTCACTAGTGATAGACTCCTGTAAGTATGTTTCTAACAGTTTCGTTCCATAATGCACATATCATCGTGCACTTTCATTCTTTTCTTCGCCAGCATGCATGTATAATGCAACATTTCAATGCCAGAAATGCACGAGGAAAGCGTCATTTCAAATCTATTGAAAATTCAAAAATGTTTTATCTGGACGAGGAACCCCCCCTCCACAACCTAATCCGCCCATCTCGGCGCCTACGCGCCTCGCCAAACTTTCAAGACGCGTATGACTTATAACCCATCGACGGCTTCACTCGACGGCTTCATCTATCTATCTATCTATCTATCTATCTATCTATCTACTATCTCTATCTATCTATCTATCTATCTATCTACGTCTATCTATCTATCTTCTTATCTATCTATCTATCGTATCTAATCTATCTATCTTCTATCTTTCGTATCATCTATCTATATCCGG